AGTTTGTGAGTTTTAATAGTATTTAAAATTTTAAATTATTAAAATATATTCAAATTAGTCTTTGTACATTATGCATTACAATCATACTTAGGCGGCTAGAATTATAATCAAGCTATAAGACCTTATTCTTCTAATAAAATAACAATTTACCCTATTTTGCATTCATTGAGACCAGTCATGCATGGTTATAAATGTGATTAGGTGGTTTAGATGACAGGCTTTTTCAGGCAAGACTGTTTGTCCAATGCATTTTAATTGTTGTATTTCATTTTCTCTAGATTTATGTTCCTAATTTTCAATCTTATCAGTGAGTTTCACCTCAAATTTAAGATTCTAAAGATGCTTGTTTAGTTAAGATATCAATCCTCACTTTCTAGGTTTTTTTTATCATATATTGTGCTATCTTAGTCCTAAATTTCTAATAAAAATGGCTTTGAACATTTTTTTTACATTAATATAATTGGACGTGACCCACAATTTCAAAAATAAACAAAAAGTGCTATTATTCTTAATTAAAACCTGATGCACTAGTTTTACTTCACTAGTTTCACTTCATCTTCAATGATGTGATGCATTTTTTAAGCTTTTCTTTGAATTATTTATGGCATGCTGTTCTTTAGTTTTGAAGAATTTATGAGTCTAAATTTGATAATAATGACAAGAATTTTATCATTGATATGAAATTTAGCAATATGTTTGTAAAGACCGAAGAACATGCACATAAAATTAATAAATTTGAAATTATGAAACAATAATTTTGGAGTACTTATCTAAAAAACTTAGATTAAAATTATTAATTGTGATAAACAAGATATGCTAAAATTAGATAATATTTAAAATTCAATGCTTTTGGAATTTTAGGTGTAAATTGTAGGTGACATATGTTAGAGACATGATATCTCAATCTATTTAATCAAGACATTCAATGCTTTTGGAATTTTAGGAGTAGAAATTTTTAAATGTATATTATATATCAATAATATTTCAAATTTGAACATTAAGATCACAAAAATAACGGGTATTATCGACCCATCATCTAAATGAGAAATTTTAAAGGTATTATATAAATTTGTCAAATTATCTCTTACTAAAAGAATTCTTGACCCCCTTTAGTCATGCAACCATTTCGTAGTATTAAACTACGTTCTAAGAGGAAGTTTTAACAGATAATTTGACGTTCTAAGAGGAAGTTTTATCAGATAATTTGATAAAGTATTTATTTTTTTTTCTTGTCATCTTAAGAGATTTGTATTAAGATAAGACTCATTTTATAGCACATCTAATTGATTTCACATATGTTAGATCTTGTTATAGCTATATGTATGCCCAAAAGTGGCCAACATAAATCGTAAGACAATTCAACGGTCCATATCAAAAAGACAAATCAAAGAGTATTTTTCCATGAAAAATTAACGGCTCATAATAACCAACTGGATGTAGAAGCACTAGTCAACTGACAACCTGAAGACCAAAGAGCTAGTGATCCAACAAAAGGGCTGACCGGCTTCTCAGAAAGAGGACTGACTAGTATCTAGATGAAATAGCTGATCGACACGAGCACGGTTGATCGACTTAAGGATCAGCTGACTTAAAGGTCCATACACAATAAAATATGCTAAAATCAATTACGAATACAAATAGAAATGATAAAAGAAAAAAATGTCCTGTAACCCGCTAATTAAAACATGAGCAGATATATAATTTTTCACTTTATCCCCCTCTATCTTCTATAAATAGAGGTCCAATACGTGTAGAAAGAGTATTTGGCTCTTCTCACTAAATCCATATTTTGTAAGGAGATCTTTCTCCTCTTCTACTATGTAACTCTATAGTTTCAATATATAAAATGGGTCATAAAATCCGAGAATACTTCAGTTTGTCCATAAGGGCAAATCTTTGTGTTCTATTTTAGTTTTTCTCTTTCTCTACATCAATGAGGAGAAATGGATCGCAATGTTTCTTATACATAGAGCATGATAAGAAGTTCATGCACCATATCTGGAGACCGAAATACTAGTTATGTTGTCTTCTTAGAGGCTTTGGCTAGGAGGCAAGTACCTCAACATGGATGCCTGGCTCCCAACGATCGAAACGAGCAGACAAACCATACTAGCGCATTGCTCAGTCCTAACAACTGACACCCTACTCAATATATAAAAGGAGTATTATTTTGAAAACTTTTTAAATATTATGAAAATCTCTCTAGTGTCCTCTTTGGTCCAATTGACAATTAAAGAACTTGAATCCAAAAAACCATGCCAATAGTGAAACCAAAGGGGTCCAATAGACAAAATCTTCCTCAACGCTCCCACATAAGAAAATCTTAGTCTTCGTGCTTGAATTGGATAAAGCACTAGAGGTTGTTCCATTCCTGATAGAAATAAGCTTTGTGAAGGGTAAGGCACAAATCACCCCATTATCGAGTCTTGATGGTTACTTGTGTGAAGGCAGCTACAAGATTCGCCTAAGACCTAGAGAAACGTAAGGCTCGACCGAGGCGATAATTCGATCGAGTAAATTAGACCTTAAAAAGTGTAAGATGCAAGCTAGATGGAAATATTAAAAAACAAAAGCGACCGAAAATGATGCCATAGATGTCTGATGAGTGCCCAAACAACAAAATTGACCCACAACAATGAGCACAAAAAGGCAGTAGCTATGCTCAAATTTTTCATAGCTCTAGAGGAGGTTCTTTCCTCAATAATGAGTCCTAATGTTTACCCACGTGAAGGTAGCAACAACATCTGCATAAGTCTTCGAGAAAAGTGTGGGACAACCAAAGAGACAAATCAGAGTGAAGCAAAATGAGACAGACAATATAAGACTTGTGTTAAAACATAAAAAATGAAAAAAGTAACCAATGTTCTTTTACAAGGTCCGAGTCGTCCATCAAATGCATACTCATAAACAAATAATTATCACAAAGAAACAAAAAATGTGAAATAGTAAAAGTTATAAAAAATGATCGAACAATTTTATTTCATGTCAAATGTAAGGAAATGTAAAATTTTTTCATGTTACAAAAGTGTTCATCTGTATAAACTCACAAAAAGTTTCTCACATAAAAAGAAAAAATGTCTAAGGTTTAGGGAGCCAGCCGGAAGACCCTCTCTCATCTTCAGCATCTGAGTCGTCTCCAGATGACTCCTCAGAACCAGTGTAGAGAGCATCAAATTCATTCAAGTTAGCATATTTCCAGTCGACCAAGGCCTACTAAATGAATCAATCAACTGTTGTGATATTGTCGATCTAAAGTTGATCACCTAAGATTTTCTCCTACCTAGGGAAGGAGGGAAGCAACTTAAGAAAATCTTCCTCGTTCTTCATTATCACCATCTTCACTTTTGGCTATTGGTTCTCTTATTCTTCGATCAACATAAAATTTGTCATGACAGAGAGCTCCACCTAGTCGTTGCTAGCTTCTTCTCAGCCACCATAGCTTGGTTCTCTTACTTTTTGGTAAGCCTTGCCAGCGACCAGAGAAACTTGGTAAATGCCACAACATGATAACCTCTAGAATGGCAGAAGGATAAACTTCAACAGATGATGAATTTTTATACGAGCCTATTAACCGATTGATATCGGTGAACCAATCATCAAAAGGGTTTCAAATCATGTTCCCCTGACCTTGAGAAGGAACCCAACTAGTTGAGGAACCATTCCTCTTCTTTTGGTAAGATAAAGTGTGCGGACGAGTTGACTCCTCAACTGATTCCTTGCCCTCACATTCTTGGAGTTCTTCCAGAGTTCCCACTTCCAAAATTTTTTTAGACTCAGTCTGTGTAGGAGAAGTAGGCCGACTTGCCCCCCTCCCAAATAAGTGAATGAATGAAGCAACTTTAAGAGGCACAGTCGGCTAAATGCTCACCTCCTCAGAAGATTCCTCTTCATCAACACCCTCCTCGTGGCAGTTAGATAGCCCCCCAGCTTCTTGTCAAACGAGAAGAGCTGACTTTAGGAGATATGTGTCAAAGTTAGCATGGGCCGCACATTTTCTGGCAATGATGGTCGGTTCACCGATCAAAATTTTTTGAATCAATACCGTGGTTGCATAAATAGAAAAGAGAAAATCATTTATTGCCCAGCTGACTTCACTTTATGACCCTTTATCTTCTATAAATAGTAATCTAATGCGTGCAAAAAGTGCTTTCGGCTCCTCTCTTTATACCCATACTCTGTAAAGAGATCTTTATCCTCTTAACTTTTGTAACTTTTAGCTACAATCTATAAAATAGGCCACAGAGCTGGTCAATACCCTAATATGCCCCTTCGGTCTATACGTGTTGTTTTAGTTATTCCTTTTTCTCAGTCCAATTCTCTCCCTGTAAGTTCCTACCACTTTGACTCTTTGGCGTGTCTCACATGACAAATTTGGGTTCAACACTGTAGTATGATTCGGCATGATAAGCAAAGAATTAAATCAATACAAGTGAACTATTAGTTAAATATATTTAAATATTTAAGTACTCCATTTTTTTCTGTTATCAATTTATTTGTGAATATCTAATTGTATTGTTATTTTTTTTTAATAATTTAATTATGTTATTTAATTTGTTTAAACTGCGAGGGGACTATAAAATATAACATAAGTAAAAAAAAATAGTTTCATGCGCATATTAATTAATTTGAAATATCCTGAAATAATTTTTAAATGTGTTTATATACTGTAACTTGTGTTCGTGTTTTTGTCAATGGAGAGGGGGAGGCGGAACGCAATGAATTAGCAAATTCAATATGTCGAAGGTGGCGAAGGGAAGAAAAAAAAAAAAGGAATGCTGAGGTCATCAACGAAGGAAGACCGCACAAGCAAAAAAAATTATTTTATTTTTAAACATCAATCAAATTTAATCCGGTCCTGTGGCCTCGCACACATCATTTTCGCTTCCGCTCTGCGGAGTTCACGTACGTGGTGTGAGCTGCGAAGTTTTAGTTTACTTTTTTATTTCTTCAGCAACTATAAATATATTTATCCATAGTTGTTTCCATTGGCTCGCAAACGTTGATTGCTTTTGGAGGGGAGGAGGAGAGACCAATAGAGATGAGGCAGAAGTTTTAGGATCACGATATTAAAACTTTTCTAAGCTTCAAATGTAGATTTGTTGTATTAATTACTCATTCTGGTTGGAGCAAAGTTAGTTGCAAAGGTACAAAGATCATATATATATATATATACAAGAATTTGGATTCAGGATCTCTTGATTGAAGTCTATGCTCTCCGCAGAAAGAATTAAGGTGACTTACATATCAGAGAGAATTTGATTTGGTTGTCCATTTGCTTTAAATATCGGATTTTCACTAATTTGTCTAAAGTAAATGTAGATCTATGTTTTTTTTTTAAATTTAATATTTTAGATGTTTTCACTATCTGAAATTGCCACAGTTCTGACATATAATCATTTTTTTTTCTTTCTAAGAATTTCTGTGGTGTGATTTCACTTCGAATTATTCTTTATTGGCTTGAGTTTCAGCTCCTATATTTTATTTTATTTTTAGTTCTTTTGCTTCTAGCTCTATCATGAGGAGCATATTTTGAGACCTTCCAGATGAATCTGTACATGAAGTTTCTATTTTCGGACCTCCCATCGGTTATATTGCTTCTCAGCTTTGAATTTTCTGTTCTGTCGACTAAAATATTCGCATATTTTTTTCCATAAAAACCAAAAATCTCATTAGCAAAAAACTGATCGAGAGAGAGAGAAAAATTCCCCTTTAACTCGTTGAGGAGGTGGAAGAACGATCGGAGTGGCCGGTCAAGTCGGTAGAGGGACAGTCATGCTGGAGTCGCCGAAATCGTCGAAGCCAATAGACTGAAACAGGGAGAGGATAGCGAATGTCCCTCTGCCTAATGAAAATAATATATCAGAGGAATTACGCCGACATTGAGTCGGCTGAAATTTGATATATTGAATGAATGCATTGATTGCATTGATATATACGGAAGCAAAAGTTGTACCAAAATATTGAAAAAATATTTTTGTACATACGTCCGCATGTCCGGATGAAGAATCACCGACCACCATATCGAATAAAATGTGTGGCAACATGACTGGCCATCCGAAAGAATATTTTCTCAAACTTTTAGACACAGAGCAGACGTTATTTTTAGAGGCTTAAATATGACGATATTTTACAGATTTTCTGTCCTGCTATTTTAGCTTTATTTGGCAAATACGTGCGTTCTCTAATTCCATTTCCTTCTCCACAGATGTACAATGAAATAATGAAGAAGAAGTGTGGAGCCAAATTGAGAAAGTATGTGATAAAGACCAATAGATGGCAGGCACTATCATCCGCAGCCGAAAAGAGGAAGAATGCGTTAGCGAAGACGGAACAGAGCAATTTCTCCGATAATTGCGACAATTTGAATGAAATGCCCAACAAGTATAGTTGTCGGGAGCTTGGGATTTTTCAGTTTCCATGGCAGAGCGAACCCGGAGGTCTGGCGCCGGAATTGGAGAGGTACAGCCTCAGAGACGTGTTCTTCTCTTCACTCATCGATGGCCGCACGGCCAAAATTGGCTTCCCCGGCGACCGTCTCTCGCGGCCAAATGCTTCACCGATCATCCTCCCGCCGGGGGTCAATGAGTCCATTCCGTCCGGTGTGGACGCCGAAGAGTTCGATTATATTTGGAGGAGCATCCTGCGGCAGCCGCTCTCGATCTTTTGCTGTGCTGGAACCTCTGGCGTGCAAGCAAAAGCATTTTCTTAGGGGTTTTTTTACTTTTTTTTTTCGGTGATTTACAAGGGCACCACTCAATTCTTAAGTTTATATATATATAAAAGCCGAAGTTTAATTTTTTTATTTAAAAGATGCATTTTATTTTGAAATGTTTAAATAGTCCTATATATATAATCTTTTTAGGGCATATGATTTCTTATCATTTTTAAGCTTATACATTCCCAAAGAAACCTCTGTGAGAAGGGTATTGAATAAGGGAGTGGTTGTACTCTTCAAGACTAAATATGAGTCTCAAAATGATGTCAAGGAGATTATATAGATGATATGATCTTCTCCCGATAAGAGGAGCTTTTATTTGTTTGAAACATAGATGATCCTTTATCCTTGTTAGAGAGAAAAGAAAATGAATATTAAATTATGATTTATAAAATAAAAAGTCTATGCACAACATCCCAATGAGTTGACATTATGTCTGTTAATTTCATGAGAGCATTTATACTTCTCGGAGGGCAACCAGTGGAGAAATTTGGCATATACGTGATAGCTGAAAAAGCCTTAGTTTTGTTATGCTCATGGTTTCGATCCAAAGTTGGGTGAGGAGCGATGTCACCTTTTATGAGGTTAAACTTCCCTTTGCTTGAGGAACATAGCTCTTTTGTAGGGAGTAGCTTCTTAAATCTACTACTGTGCTTAGAAGTTCCATCACGTGAGATTTGTAGTTCTCCATCAAGGATTAATAACTTAATTCTCCTTAAAAGGTTTAGGGTGTTTCCTTTCCTTGGGCCTTGGCTTTCCTTCGGAGAGTAGTTCCATGAATGCATTGATTTTGCATGTTTGCATCTCCTCACCCTATTTGGAGATTGAGAGAAAAGTTTTATTTGGAAAATAGGTCAAGATGAGAGCTAACTATTGGCAAAATTTTTTAGATATTACTACATTAGGGTGTTCACCTATATGACTCGAGATGGTCCACAATTCGTCTGTAACATCCAGTAGCTCAAGACACCAACCCATAACTCTTTAGCACTTGTTCGAAGCAAGAAGCTAGGGTTGGTGGCGATTTAGCCCTACCTGGGAAAACCTGCAAAAGAAAAGTTTCATTCCGAATGTGGGACATATTGGAGCCTGCTGATTGTTCCGTACTGGATCTCTCTGTATGATTCCACAGCAAAGGTGAACATATGGCTAAATAGATTGGTCGACCACAAGATTCAATTTTGTTGATAAAAAATAATTTAGGTCATTATTGAAGTAATGAAATTTAGCTTGATTTGTGCGCGAATGACTCTGCATTGATTGAAAATGGCATGAAGCTCATGATATTAGGAAAATCACAATAGATATTGAAACTAATAACAATAAACCACCAATTCATCTTCATACCTGCCAGTCATCTGCGTGGGCGACTCTAAGCATGATGGTTAGGTTAAAGATAAATGCTTCTACCATGAAAGCAAACTTAGTTGAAGATAGTATTGAGCGCTCGATTACAACCAACAGACCAAAGGTCTCATCAGTTCACGTGGGACTCATCCAAAAATAAGAGGAAAATGAGAGTAGATAAAGTCGAATGAAAAGAAAATCAAGGAGTGATAAGGTCAGGATAGAAAAGATAGAAGGCATGTCATTGAGCCCCTCAACACCTATTATAAAAATTCAATGGAAGTGGAAATGTCGCACGAGGATTCAGAGAGAAACATCATGTAAACACAAGAATTGAGATATAAAAAAAATATAATATTTTAATGATTAATTAGAAAATTACATTTGTACCCTATATCGACAAAAGGTACTATAGAGATTGGTCCTCGACCCCTTCGGCATGAACCAAACCTCACATATTCAACCTTCTATACAATATTTGATTGCTGAGCTTGAACTTTTTCTCTTAGTTGGCCTCGAAATGGACCCTTTGCAAAAACACATCTTCCTAGAGTTCTGTAACCTCTCAATGAAGACTGACTACCTCCCCCGCCTACAACCCCACCCCCCCCCCCCCCCCCCCGGTTTACCTCCCACCAA